TACTCCCCCCCCCCCTTCATCTAGAACCTCTCCCCTAGGTGTAGAGTGCCCAGTGAATGCATTTAAGTTCTTTGATCTTAATTTTCCTGCTTGAACCTGGAGTGAACACTTGTGAGTTGGGCAAAAGCATGGTACTTACACAGGTGGAGTTGCCCCAGGAAGGAAGCAAGGCCTGTTGTTGGAGAGGTCACTGACCCTGCACGGACCAGCTGCCAGGGGGTCGCCAGGGCAGCATGGGCCTAGAGCTTCCCAGGCCATTACCCTGAGGCAGGCAAGGAGCCTCGGGGCTCACACCACAGCACAACCCCAGGAGCCCCTCTAGGCCGTTCCCTTCCTGTGTGGCCTTTGGAAACTCACAGGTAAAATGGAGGTGTCACACCTCAGTTGTGGGGACCAACTGAGGTGTGACACATGGAACGGAGATAATTGTTAACTCGGGTTCTGTTTTGATGGCCATTTCTACAACCATGTCCCTAATTCTTGACTTTGCATTTCTCTTCCTAGAGAGTGAAAATCCTCAGGTGACTTAGAGACTGGAGGGAAAGGACCCGGGCTCAGGTAGAAGCCTCGCCCTGATCCTCTCAATCTGTATTACTTTGGTCAATACCTTGTACTCTGCTTAACATTAGTTCTCTCACCAGTAAGATGGGGTGGTAATAAGACTTCATAGGCTTGACATTCAACAGACTTGAGTCACCAAGTACCTGAATGTCTTCTCTGTGCCAGGCACTGTCCTGGACTTCATGGGGTCTGGACATTCTTGAGTGTGGGAGGAAGACCAACAACCACAGACAGGCTCTGCCAAGCAGGCACAGGTGCAGGGGATGGACGGTGATGGCTCTATCTAGCAAGGTCTCTGGTGACATTTGAACAGACTTGACAATCCACGCAGGTGTCTGAGTTGGTGGCTGTCACCTGTGGGAGTGCTCTGGGCAACATTCCTTGCAGCACAGGTTTGGATGTGGAGAATGCCTGGCATTTGGGTGGCTTCTTGGTGGCTAAGAAAGTTCACGTGGCACTGCCCTCAGCCTCTCTCTGCTTCTTACCCAGGGTTTAACTCCCTCGTGGGAGGCGTGATGGGCTTCTCTATTCTTCTGAGTGCGGAGGTGTTCAAGCACAACTCGGCCGTCTGGTACCTGGACGGCAGCACAGGTGTGCTCATCGGCCTCACCATCTTTGCCTACGGGGTCAAGTAAGTGCCTGTTTTCCTCTTTGCTTTCCTGGTGGCCAAGAGTGCTCCGTTTTGCACCCCCAATGGTCGCCGCGTACCTGTGACACTCCTGAGTCTGAGTGTCGGCAGGTGACTGGAAAAGCCCCCATCAGGGATGAGATATTCTTGTGGCTGACACCGAAGTGAGGCAAGGACATTGACAAGAGGCACAGGCTTTAAAGTCGCAAAGGGGCACCAGTTCTGGGCTGAGGAGTCCCCGTAACAGCCACTGTGAAAACCAGTGGGGACTGCACCTGAGTGAGACGGGGCTGCTGGAGTCCTGAGGGGCCTGCACGTGGACCTGCTCACTCACAGACTCATTAGTCTGAGCTCCAGTGCCAGGGCAGCAGCTTGACTAGCACCAGGGACATCCAGGGAGCCTGAACTGACTAGCGTCCGGGCAGGGGGCAGGGCGGCTCTGCCCAGGGCTGGACGTGCTGGTCGGCATCGTTGCTTTGCTGAAGCCTACCCCCACTCAGCTATCAGGCACAGGTGGGCGCCACATCGAGCTCTCCATGCCCCTGGCTAACGCCATTTGCCCCACCCTGGTAATTCTCTGGGACCCCATCCCACCTAACTCGAATTCCCGGCCCAGGTGCTTCCAGTGGATCTTCCACACAAGTGGCCTGCCTTGGTTCATGCTCTGGACTTGCCTAAAATCTCTCTCAGTTCCACAAACCCCAAACAAGCAGCAGCTGGCCTTGGCATGCCTGGCACAGTGGTGATAGATCTCAACTTGCATTGTAATTCCCATCAAGGGGCCCCAAGTCTGACATAAACTTTGGCCAGTGTTGATGTGGAACAAGAGCTTCAACTAAATGGCCACAAGCCGGGCACAAGTGGTGCCTGGTGTCAGCATACATTGTGGTGCTCACCAAAGCCTAGAACTAGTGGCAACCAGTCTTGATTCATAGAATAGCCTCTTCCAAGTGCCAACCAACCCCAGATGACTTCGTAGCTCCCACCAGGTGGTGCCAAGCCTACACTGGAGCCAACACACTTGTGGGCAGCTTTAGACCACATCAGAGCACCACCCAACCAGCTTCGCAAATGACTCATTNGCCTACACTGGAGCCAACACACTTGTGGGCAGCTTTAGACCACATCAGAGTACCACCCACCAGCTTCAAAAATAACTCATCCAAAGGGTAGACATAGCTGGCAACAAAGCCCTGCAAAAGTGACTCCCACTATGTGGTCACCCCCCACATAACAACTTGTCCGCTGTAGCCATGGACAGCCAGTCAGTCAGAGGGTCAGTCCCACCCACTGATGTGCCAACAGCAGTCAAGGCTGAACTACAGAAAAGGGCGTACACAATCCATACAAGGGACACCCCTGGAGCACCTGGTTCAGGTGACCAGGGAGACTGTGCCACTGGGGCCCACAGGACACTATATAAGGCCACTCTAGCAAGACTGGGAGACATAGCAGATCTACCTAACACATAGGCAACCAAACTGAGGAGACAAAGAAACATGCTCCAAATAAAACAACAGGAGAAAACTCCAGAACAAGAATTAAATGAAATGGAAACAAGCAATCTATCAGATAGAGTTCAAAACACTGAGAATCAAATTAGTGATCTGGAAGATGAAGTAGTGGGAAACAATCCTATTTACAATGGCATCAAAAATAATACCTAGGAATAAATTTAACCAAGGAGGTAAAATACCTCTATTTAGAACACTATAAGTACATTGGCAAATAAATGGAAGGCTACACTGTGCTCAGACTGGAAAAATGAACATAGTTGAAATTTCCATATTATTCCAAGCAAGCTACAGAGTCAGTGCAATCCCTATCAAAAGACCGGCATTTTTTTATAGAACTAGGACAAATTATATGGAACCACAAGACTCCAAATAGCCAAAGTAATCTTGAGAAAGCAGAACAAAGTATACTACAAGGCTATAGTAATCAAAACAGCATGGTACTGGCATAAAAATGGACACATAGATCAATGGGACATGATAGAGCGCCCAGAGATAAACCCACACCTATATGGTCAATTAGTCTGTGACAAAGAAGGCAAGAATATGCAATGGGGTGAAGACAACCTCTTTAATAAAAGGCCTTGGAAAAGAGACCCATGCAAATGAAAGAAACTAGACCACTTTCTTACACCATATAAAAAATGGATTAAAGACTTAATTATAAGACTGGAAACCATAAAACTCCTAGAAGAAAATATAGGCAGTCAACTCTTTGACATCACTCTTAGTAATATATTTCTGGCTGTGTTTCCTCGTGCAAGGGAAATGAAATAATAAACAAAGGAGACTATATCAAACTAAAAAGTTTTTGCAGAGTGAAGGAAACCATCAACAAAAGACAACCTATTGCATGGGAGAAGATATGCACCAATGATACATCCCATAAGGGGTTTAACACCAACCACCCCCTCCCCCAAAAGTGTCTCCAGATAGATGAGTGGATAAAAAAGGTGCGGTACATATATACAATAGATATTACTCCACCATAAAAAGAAAAAGTGAAATCTTGCGGTTTGCCACAGCATGGATGAACCTAGAGGGAATTACGCTGAGTGAGAGAAGTCAGACAGGGAAAGACAAATACCACTTATATTTGGAATCTAAAACAAAATATATGAATAAACAAAACAGAAATTGGCATCTTTTACACTTGAAACAATTAGGTGAATTGCAAAATTAAATGTCTACTTTTATAAATTAAATATTTTCAAAATTAGGGAAAACGTATCAGTGGTTGGGGGGAGTTGGGGAGAGGAAAAGGGAGGGACACTAGTGAGTTTCTTTTTGGGGTGAGGAAAATGCTCTGTCCAACCATCACCACCTCCTAATTCCAATCTCTGCATATACTAAAAACCACTGAGTTGCATACTTTAAAAAGCTGAATTTTATGATATGTGAATGATACATTTTTAAAAACTCCCTCTCCTGTCTGCTTCCCCGAGTGCTCAAACCCCAGGCTCTGGAGGTGTTGGGTGACCTGTGTCTCCTCCCTGCAGACTCCTCATCGACATGGTGCCCAGGGTGAGGCAGACGCGTCACTACGAGATGTTTGAGTGAAGGGGGCCGAGCCGCCAGTCTGCATCTGCATGAAGACGTCAGGACCAGGAGAGGTTTCCACACAGGCGGATGGTGCCAGCATTTAACTGAACATCCGGTTGTTTCTTTGGAAAGTTTGTGTTCGTGGGAACAGGTCTGCCCAGCAGGTTGGTCTGCACCGCTCCCCTCGCTCCACCGCCCCCGCCACACCCGCCAGGACAGCGTGCACAGGAGGGGAGCCTGGTTTCCCCCTTTCCAGTGGGAACTCACCTTTTCTGTGTTCTGGAGTAAAAGGGTTCTTGTGGGTAGGATAAGATCTCTGCTTGGTAGAAAGTTCTGTGGTGCTCCAGGCCTGAAATAGAGAGCGACTGACCAGACCCACCTCCTCTGGGCGCAGAGGGCTCCGGCCCCTCGGAGCTCGAGGTCTCTCCCGGCAGAGCTGAAGGGAAGACCGTATGTCTGTCCCCTTTCGTCCTCACTCACCCCTTCACATACCCAAACCATCCGTATATCGCGCTTCCTGATTTATATCGATGTATTTCATTAGTTTCATACTGTTTTACTAATCTGAAATCTAAACAGACTTGTTCAAAAGGAGACCATTCTATTTTTAAAGTACTTAGTGACGTATGTATGAGCTTTGCATGGACGAACTAAGCACATGACCCTTTCTTGTACATTCAGAACTCGAACATACATGTAAACACAGGACCCATTTTTGACATGTGAAACTACTGTTTATTTGTAATAAATAATGACATAATCCATCCACGTGCAGATATCTCTCTGCTGTTAGGTGGCAGTAATGGTACATTAGTCTGTCAGAGGCGCTGGCTCTCCTGTAAGGGCGAGATGTCCTCAGTGTATGTCACGTTAGGTATCGATTCTGTGAAAATGGTTCCCACACAACAGTCTGTACCTCTAGCCCAGGCGACGGTGTCTGGCCAATAAAGACCGTTACTGTTTTGTGTGGTGCAGGGAGGCTCTTTCAGAGGTGTCCCCGTCATGGGAAGGTTTGCCGTTGTGGCTGAAGCAGACACGGAAGGTCACTTGTTCCTGGTGGAATGTGAGTAGAGCGCGACCTCCAAGAACTGTTTTGATGGCTTTGTGGCCTCAGTGGGGCAGGCCACCCACCGCTTAGGTGAGGAGCGTGGCCACACATTCATTTGGTGGTGCCCGAGGGACCTCACCCCTGCCTCCCATGCCCCATCTCCCACCAGCTGCGTCAGGCAGGGCAAGGGATGGTGGTTTGATCTAAGGCCACTGACCTTGGTTCAACCTGATGCTGTGCGCGGCTTCCTCTAGCAGCACGTAGAGGCGTGCTCTGTAGGACGGAAACACGTTAGGTGGGGGAAGGGAGGGCTGTTCAGATAGGTCTGGGAAATGCAAGATTCAGCAGGTGTCCTTTCTGCAGGTTCCCTGTATTTCATATAGTGTGGTCGCTTGGGAGGGAAGCTGGGCTATAGCCTCCCCTAAACGTAAGCACTCAATTTTCTTGGCACCTTTTTTGGGACTGGTCTGCATGAACCATGCCGTATCTGGGACCTGAGTGCTGTCCCTGCTCTGGGCAGGCACGAGAGAGGCTGTGCCAAGGCCGAGCCACGCCTTCCTCCAGCATCACGCACAGGCAGGCAAGCCCTTGGTGTGAGCACAGAGGGACCTGACCTGTTTCCAGGGCATGAGCCTAAAGTAACCGAATGTTCATGAGGAGGGAAATGCATCCCAGGTCTAAGAGGCCCTCAGCCTTTTTAGGACGGTTTTACTAGCACATCCTTAAAGATTTTCAAACACTGGGTGTAGTACAGGTATCTTNTGAACCATGCCGTATCTGGGACCTGAGTGCTGTCCCTGCTCTGGGCAGGCACGAGAGAGGCTGTGTCAAGGCCGAGCCACGCCTTCCTCCAGCATCACGCACAGGCAGGCAAGCCCTTGGTGTGAGCACAGAGGGACCTGACCTGTTTCCAGGGCATGAGCCTAAAGTAACCGAATGTTCATGAGGAGGGAAATGCATCCCAGGTCTAAGAGGCCCTCAGCCTTTTTAGGACGGTTTTACTAGCACATCCTTAAAGATTTTCAAACAGTGGGTGTAGTACAGGTATCTTAAAAAAAAAAAAAAAAAAAGCTCACCGGTCTTTCTAATTCACTCTCTTCTTGGTGAACGCTCTGAAATTAGTATTGGTGGATAGGATGTAGGGAAAGACGCTCAACAGTGACATGGCCCTCCTCCGCTCCTTACATGTGACCGTCCTCTCAGCGTTTCCAGCAGTGACTGCAGGTAGCAGATGCCAGCACTGGGGGTGCAGCTCGGTTGTGTTCTGCAGGTGACCCTGCACCCACCTAAGCCCCCCGCAAAGATCACTCCCACTTGTCACACAAGAAAAGTTTATTGAAAAATAAAGTTCTCCCTAGTTTTGTCTACAACAGTGGAAAACAAAGCAGTGCCTCTATGCCGGTACAGTACATTTGGACAGCGACGCCTCATTTGCAGAATCCTGCACTACTTAACCCCAGAGTGAACCAGGAGCTTTTGAAGACACAGATGCGAATGGCCATTAGCATAAAGACATCAAAGGTGTGGCAGCAACTACAGCAGAAAGCACATCACCATCTCCTTTGGCATCAATTGCTCTGCTATTGTCCTATTAACACCTGGGCAGGACTGAGCAAAATGCTTCCCAAGTCTGTTCCACCTCTTTGAAGAGAGGGGGCAGACTGTGCGACGTTCCCATCCTGCTGTCCCAGCCAGGCTTCAGACCCCAGCACGGCAAATGTTCTCTGTGCACCCTGAACCCCCCCACCGGCCACACACACCTGCCTGCTGGCCTTTCGTCCCTCTGCCAAGCCTCGCCAGCGGCAGGGGGGTGTGTGGGGGAGAATCTCAAGGCTCCACAAAATCAGAGATAGAGGGAATGGTGCTTTGAAGAAGGTAAACCCCAGTCTTATACGCACAGAAGCCTAGGACCGCTGAATCAGCTGAAAACGGGGGCTCAGACACGGCCCCAGCCACCTCCTCCACAGTGCAATCTATCGAGAAGAGGACCGGGGCAGGAGAGGAGATGGGCTCCAATCCATCAGGGAGCAAGAGGCTTAAAAGCCCAACGAAACAAAAAGTGAACTGATATTTAGGTGATTTGGGGGGGAAAAATCAGTGAACCAGAAGCAAATGGGACAGCTAACCAGCCCAGGAGTCTAATCCCTGTGGACTGGACTGTGGAGGAGCCACCCTGGCCAGCAGGGGACAGCAAGGGACTTCCTGGGGAATAAGTTCAGTTGGTCATTATTTTCCCCCTGAACACACAAAAGCCTCTAAGCCTCTCTCACTGCATTTCAGAGGAGTACAGTTAACTTTTAAGGGGTACAATCAATGAGAAAATTGACCTTAATTTCTAGCTCAGAAAGTTCCACAAGGAAAAACTCTGGAATGGTCCAGGAGACTTAGTGGGGTGAGGTCCAGCATGGGGTCACAGGTCACCCTTGCCATCTCCCACATACAAATTCTCACAGCCTAGTTTCATCTGGGGCTGAAGTGAGGCATATTTTCAAATCAGTCAGTGCATTCAGGGATCTGGTACCGTTCCAACC